TGGAGTTGTGGGATGCTCAACATCTTTGAAAATCAGGCCAGAAGTCTTAAGGAAATTAGAAGAAAATTCATTCAGTTCCCCATCACCACCACTGTTCCACTGAGTACAGTAAGAAGGTGATGTCAATTGCTTAAAGTATCTCCGCATAGACCCTCATTCACGAAAAGTCAGGTATGTTTTACAAAGGGAAAAATTCCCTGTGCTAAGAAAAGTGGAGTTCAGAGGGGCAACCCTGGGAAGTTGCTCCCCTAGGAATGTTGTTTGCACTACAAAAACAACCGTCTCCAAACACAGTTGTGAAATATGGCTGCCACCCAACTGTATATAAATGCATTCTTGCCTGGGTGGTGTAATCATGTTTTAAGGGCCTGTATTCCAAGTCTAACTGTGCCGGTGCTGTGCCTAGAAATACATGTTCTAAAATGTCTTATCCACACCACAAACTCTGTGATGGAATCATGTTCCGAAATCGTTGCAGCCTAAGTAAACCAACAGCACAAAGGACCCGCTTTTCAGAAAGAGCTTCTATTTAGGCACCAGAGCCAGCGGCTAGATCTTCAGAGGAGCTCAGCACATTGGATGCATGGTGCGTTCTGAACTCTTGGAAAACGTGGCCACAAGGGTCACAGTGGGAGCTACGGGGAGGCCGAGTACTTGAAAATCTGGCCCTAGCTGCTAGATAATGATATGCTTTGTTTTCCATCCCCACTATTTTCCTTGCCTTTATCACTGTTAGGTGACAGCTATGATGTTTCACAACCATGTGCTTTTAAAAGGTTTTATGTTTGCAGCATAGGCAGAGCTTTGTTGTGACCTCTGTCTCTGGTGTTCAGAATCTCAACTGGCTCATTACCTACAGCTGTGTTTAAACATAGTGGTCTTGCCCACCTAGGGTCCCCCCCACACCCAGAAATGTGCATTGATTTGTCCTTATCGTTGGCAGCCAACAAGTTGCTGCTGGTATTATAACCATCATGGACAGACCAGTTCTGAGCAGGCCTAAACACTAGGGCTTGAAGTAGGCCAGATTGTCTTGGGCAGATAAAAATGAGATAAGGTCTGTTTCCAAGCAACAATAGTACAGAAGATTATGTGCTGATACAAAGTGACAACATAATACATGGTGGGTTGCTGTCCCTTTAAAGAACTATGGAAAAAGTGTATTTGATTTCCTTTACATGTAGGTGGTCAGCCTGTGTAGGTACCTTGGCCTGTTGAGGCTGGGCTTTGACTGTGGTTTGAAAACCAATTGTTAATCTTTATTTAAACATGGTTCCAGCAAAACTGGTTTGAAATCTGATTTGACTGGCTGGGATAAGCAGAGCCACACACTATCTGAAAACACAAGTCTGAACTTGTTTCCTGCCAGACTGGTTTTAAATCTAGTTTGACTAATTGATGTGTACAAACCCCGTTTTTAAAAATGTATTTATTAAATAACCTAACCTATTTTCCAGCCAAACCCACATCTGAAACTGGTTTAGCTGGAATGGTTTTGAAACCAAATTAAAACTTCTGATTTCAATTATTATTTTAAAATAATGTCATTTTTGCTGTACGTTTGGCAAACATGTAGGACACTGCCCTGAACAGGTTATAATCTAAGGTGAGCATCCTGAAACTGAGTCAGAGGGGGGGCCAGACTCCTGTTCCCACACAGATTCCCATTGGTATCAGTGGGAATTTGCGATGGTGTTAGGGTTCGTGTGCCACTGGAGTATAGACTCTTCCTAAATCAATGGAAGGAGTTTCTCTGCTGATTGTAGGTAATTCACCTGGCGGTAGCTAGGTCAACAGAAGAATCCTTCCAGCAATTTAGCGGCGGCTCGACTGGAGAAAAAAGTTGACCTAACTATGGTGTTGAGGGTGCAAAATATTTCACTGCCCTGAGTGATGCAGCTAGAGTGACCTATATTTTAGGTGTTGATCAGGCCTTAGTTAGATAAGGCCAACCCACAAGGTGACACACTGGACAATAGCATGTGCCTGAGACGGTGCAGGAGTATTGCTGATGAGAGAGGCAGGAAGGTTGCTGGAAGAGCTGAGGATTAAGGAGGGATATAGCAGAGAAGGTTTAGCAGGTCTGAACTGAGAAACGGTGTCATCACATAGTTTGGCTAGTTGGTGAGGAAGCGGGAGGACAAAACCCAAAACTTGTCCACCATGATCAGGGAAACAGTTGTAAGACCACAGTTAGCACCAACTTTATTAAAACATACATTTGTCACTAGTACAGTTCTGATCCCACGGTGGGTTGAGTTTTGAGTGCAAGACCTATTGCTCTTCCCATGGTAAAGAGCAACGGAGCCCAGCACTGAAGACAGCTAATGGTGAAGACACCATCAAGATAGCTTTCAATGTTTTTGAACACCACAAATACCACAGAGAAAAGTCCTTATCTAAAATGTGGGTTTTAAATATTTCCTTTCTCCCAATCTTTGTCTTTTTTTTGTCTAGTTACTTTGTAAACTGTGCAGCAGGAACTGTCTTGCAGGGCTGGTCTACACTAGAAAAGTTACATTAGTAAAATGATGCCAGTTAGGAATATGATTTTTTTTATCCAATATATTTATACCAGTATAAGCCCTAGTGGGATTGCCGTTATATTGGTATAAAGGTGCCTTATACTGGTATAGCTTATTTTGCTTTCCAAACTGGAATAAACTATAGGCACTTTTTATATTGATATAACTACGTCCACTTGGGGGATAGGAGGGAGGGAGGGAGGAGAGAGGACGTTGCTGCTTTAACTACACCAATATAGTTAAAGCAGCAAAACTCTCTAGTATAGGTGTGCCCTTACATTGTGTGGGTGTTAGGCTATACAGTCACAAAGGGGGTCCTGAACCTGATCCTCGTGGGGGCCTCTAGGCATTGCAGTAATATAAATAACCTCATCCCGCGCTATCCTTACTCCTATCTCACTTGCATCCATGTGCTTCTCTAAGCGTCACTGATTAAAAAAAATAGTCCTTTAAATGACTTTAATCTCTTGGTTTATTTCAAAGCCTACAAGGACAAATCTGGTTTGTAGCAAGAGATTTGCCTGATTCCTTGTACCCACTGATGAATGCAATGGCAGATGGGTGGGGGAGGGTAGGACGCTGCTATTACTTTGTTCCACCTTCAGGCTAGCTTGACACTCAATTGGGTGAACGCTGATAATTTTTACGAGGATCCCAAAGCTTTCTGAAGCTAGGGCAAGCACCAAACTTGGGTTTGTACAAAACTACAGGAGATCAATTTTTTAAAATAAACTTGTTCTAAACAGAAACAAGATTTTAAAACGTTCCCCCCATCCTGATTTGTTGTGTGAATGTTGCTGTGTGCAGTTTAATTATCGTAGTGTTACACTTCAGAAATGGCTGCATTTCAGTGGCAGGCAAAGAATGTATCTCCTGATCCTATAATGGTCTGATTTCACACAAACACACACACATTCTGCAGTGGAGGCCTCATGCAGATCTGATTGCATAGAAAATGTGTTGGTTTTTTTACATCAATTTTAACAAGAAAAATATAAAAACACTTTTGAATTGCCCCACCTGGTGCCTCAAATCCTCTCTGCTGAGAATGCCAATACGAGGTGTTAGGGATAATAATGTCTGATGTGATACTTACACACAAGGAACTTGACTCAATGGAGTATTTACTCTGGAGCCTTTGAAATATCAGTCAATTTGTTAACTCTCAGTGGCTGATCAAAGCAGGCAACGAAGGAGAGAAGGCCTGAAGTTGTATTAGGTTGGGTTCCTAAAAAAAATGAAACCCCAAATAACTAGTCACGGTTGAAAATGTTGGATTTAATATTATTCTTAATGCAAGTTTAGATTCTGGAGCAGTCATTGGGGAAAAGACCAAACTCTTCACATATGCCAGCCCAATCCACCCATAGTGCATAACACCAGGTACCTCACAGGGATGTCTGAGAAGCTTAGTTGAATGAAGAATATTTGTTAAATGCTCTGAGACCCGCCCAGAAAACGCTGCTTTTGCCCAAGCTGTGTATCACAGCCATCTCTGTAACATCTAAATGCCTTTCCCCATGGAGAGGATTATCATTTATTTAAATGTATGCAAATACTAAAAAGCACCTCTGTCCATATGCTCCTGGCATCCTTGACATTAGTTGAAAATTAATAAGCACAGTTCAGGAGTCCAGAGCAAAATAATCCACTACCAGCAAGTCCAACAACTCAGAAAAAAAGCCTTTAGAGTTGCTAGTACAGAAGACTGGGAGTCAATTTCATATAATGGTACCTTGTATAAAGCAGTGATTCTCAACCAGGGGTACACATACCCCGGGGGGAACACAGAGGTCTTCTGGAGGTAAAGCAACTCATCTAGATAGTTGCCTAGTTTTACAACAGGCTACATAAAAAGCCCTACATAAAAAATACAAACTAAAATTTCATACAACCAATGACTTGTTTATCCTGTTCTGTATACTATACACACTGAAATGTAAGTACAATATTTATATTCCAACTGATTTATTTTGTCATTATAGGGTAAAAAGAGAACGCCAGCAATGTTGCAGTACTAGTGTGCTGTGGCACTTTTGTTTTATGTCTGGTTTTGAAGTGTAACTTGGGGGTACACAAGACAAATCGGACTGCTGGAAGGGGTGCAGTCGTCTGGAGAGGGTGAGAGCCGCTAGTATAAATAGAAAGGGCTTAATAACAATGCAAACGCCAGCGGGGTGACGCTGCGGTGCCAAGGCATTCCACGTGCCATTCTTTTCCCTTCTCCTGCAGCCCCCCTACCAGGACAGACCCTAAAAATAGCCCCCCTGGAGCTCCCCCATCCCAGCTGCTCTCGCAGAGAGCCTGACTTTCCCAGCACCCACGTCACTCCTTCCACCCTGCTGAGGTCACACCATATTAGCATAGCAAAGCAGAGCCCCAGCCAATCAGAGGCCTGGCAGCTGCTGACGCCTGTCGGGGAAGGGGTATAAAGGATCCGGCTTCGCTGCTTCCCCTCTAAAATCAGCCCAGAGCCCGAGAGCGGCCGGTGAATCGCTCCCCTCCTACACCAGAGCCTTAAAGGGGCCGCGCCGCCCTCAGAGCCCAACCATGAGCCAACGCTGGAGCGGAGTCAGCAGCCGGGCGGACATGGTGCCCGAGATCGCCGCCGCCGTGGGCTTCGTGTCCAGCCTACTCCGGACCCGGGGCTGTGTCAGCGAGCATCAGCTGCAGGTCTTCAGCGGGGCCCTGCAGGAGGCGCTCACAGGTGAGGTGGGGGGGGGAGGATACACGCATGTTGCACCCCTAGAGAGAGTGGGGGGCACCCCATTGGGTGCTTGGGGTGCCCCCTCTTGTGCCCTAGAGGGCTCCCCCTATTGGGTGCTTGGGGCTCCCCCTCTTGTGCCCTATTGTGTGTGTGTGTGGGGACCTTGTACCCTAGTGGGGTGGGGGCTTATCCACCATATCTCCAACCTTTAGGGCCCCATTCTCCCTGGTTTCAGAGTGGTAGCCGTGTTAGTCTGTATCAGCAAAAAGAACGAGGAGTACTTGTGGCACCGTAGAGACTAACAAATTTATTTGAGCATAAGCTTTTGTGGGTGTTCATTCTGTGCCACGTAAGCTTACAGTGCTGTAGGAATTGAATGGCCATTTGCTTCTTCACACCCCTCCCTTTCCCCCCTTTCAGCCTGTGTAAAGGTGTAACAGTACAGGGATTACTGCTGCTACCTCTTCTTGAGAGAAATTAATGAGTGTCCTAACCCGGAACAGTTAAACTCATCTGTTACGTGGGTGTCGTCACCTCGGCACAAATACAGTTCTTAACACAAAGCACAATCCTTCTCCCCACCATCTGTGTCTCTATAACACAAGAAACTTCTTTGGTTGGGAGGGGGGGAAGCTGCATCCTTACATCAGGAGAAGGCAGGTCTGGAAGTGGCTCCTTGCTTTGCTGGGACTGGGGTAAGGGGATCAGATGGAAACAGGCTCTTGATCTTTCTGCGGCTGGGAGTTGGAGCCCCTTTGTTTCAGCCACTGGGGTCTAGCATCTTGTTTAGTTATATTGGGTTTGCTCTGAAGTCTGCTGTAGTAAACTGAAAGGGACCCTTTGATTTGAGTGGGGTTTGGATCAGGCCAACTTTGTGGGGAGGGGAGACATTTCCTCACTTTGCTCTGGGCTATGAGACATTAGGGCTCAGCTCTATTTCCAGTTGAATATCGATGTGTCTTCAACTTGTTGCTAACCACCCCCTACAGAAGTTTGTTCCCCTCTAGTCTTTGTTGCACACTGATGATGTTGGATTAGATGATATCTCCTGGAGTAAGACATGTGGGTTTGTGTTTATTATCCTGACATGAGAGCTGGCTTTGGGGTTTATCAAAACTAAATTCATGACACTACTTGTGGAGGAACCAGGAAAAAAACAAACAAACAAAAACAAAGGAAAAAACCCAAACCCTAAACATTGCTCATGTACTCTGGTGTTTGAGTTTGGTAATGCTGCCCCAGCCCTACCAAGCCAAAGCTTTGCATGCATATGGACTGGCCTCCAAGGCAGGCAGTTGCTGTACTGCCACACAATCACAATATCTGCTGGGTCCTGTTTCGTGTAGTCAGTCGTAGTTTCATTCCCTATAGTATTAGAGCAGACTGACAGGATTGGTATAGTTAAGGTTAAAATAAGATCATTCTACTGATACCTGGAGAATCCTAGCTCTAAATGTAAGAGCAAACAGCTCCTGTATAAACATGTGAGGTACTTAAGATGGGCCTCCATGTTTTTTTGGGGAGACTATTTTATAGGAAGGGTGTTCTGCAAGTGCTTGTTATCTAGTTAGCTCCAGCAGGATGTGCATGTCCACTTAGAAATTTCTTCTCTTCTTACAGAGCATTACAAACATCATTGGTTTCCCGAGAAACCCTTCAAAGGTTCTGGGTATCGCTGCATCCGAATCAATCACAAAATGGACCCCATTATCAGCAAAGCAGCTAGCCAGATCGGACTCAACCTCCAGCAGCTCTATCAGCTCCTGCCCAGTGAACTCACGCTCTGGGTGGACCCGTATGAGGTGTCTTACCGGATCGGTGAAGATGGCTCCATCTGTGTTTTGTATGAAGCAGCTGCGGCAACACCTGTGAGCTCCTATGGGATGCTCACCTGTAAAAACCAGATGATGTTGGGTCGCACGAGCCCTTCCAAAAACTACATGATGACTGTCTCCAGCTAAATGCTCCTATTGTTCTTACACCACTAAGACATGGGCTACTGTATACCTCACTGGAGGATCTATTTTTAAATGAAGAGCTATTTATATTTTTTAAAAAAAGCAAGAAAATCCCAAATGAAATTTAAATATCAGACACTGCTCTGTAGCGAAGCAGTGTTAGGTGCCTTTTTTCTTTTTTAAAGCTGTTGCAAGCTTATGAGTTTTTATTATGAAGCCAATATCTACCTAGTTAGTGTTGAATGACAATTTGGGCGGGCGGGCTTGCCTGTCTGGGCAGCTTGGGGTGGAGGAGCCGAAGGGGGTAGGGGGAAATACAGCATTTCTAAAGAGTATTTTTAACTATGGCGTAAGCGCTGAGCAACTGTGAATGAAAAGGCTAGAATACCTAGCGAGTGGGGCTTTTAAAGATAGTTGACTGGAGTGTCATGACCCACTGAGAAGTCTATTCTGGCCTTGATTGTTTTTATTAAAAAAAAAAAATCGCCTACTCCATTACACTGATAAGGGGTTGCAATTTCATCACCTCTCTGCCCCCATTTCCCCCAACAAGCCTGAGCAATTTGTGGCCTAAAGTTTCTGATCCTTAATCAGTTTTGACTGAGCCCAATGTTCAGGATTTGGCCCTGAAACTGGTTGGTAGTTCCCAACGCACATTTGTAATTCGCCGAAGTGCCAGACCAATGTGAATTGATCTACCTGCTGGGGAACACGTCTTTACCAGGACTTTGTCTGTTCACTGCCTTTTTACTGACCAATTGTCGCCCCTGCCAGTGACCCTTTAAGAGGTGATTAAAAACACAAGGCACTTAAGACTCTTTATTTTTAATGAAACTTCCTCAGATTAGTTTCAAAGCACATTGGGTTTTTTTGCCTTCCTGTTTTGAACTGGCAAGTGATTTGCATAACTAGAGCTGTTCCTTCCCAGCCTTTCATGACTCAAGTTCTCAGACACTGTGCAATATATTTCGAGATTTGGGGAATCTGGAGAAGGAAGGGGATTCCTCTTTGCCACAGTTCTTTTTTCCCCCCACCCCAACCTTTTAAAAATAAGATAATTAACTATTTTTGATCACTTCCCATGTGCAAACTTGGGTTCAGGCTTTTGTAGGGATTTTACCAGCATTTGAACTCCTGAACTGGAAAACTTCCCTTCATACTGGGCATATCATTTAAAGGGCCCAATGGCCTGTGCTTATCCCCCACACAGTTTAATCATCACTAAAGAGATCTGACTTGTAAAGCTGAAGTTACATCACACCAGCTGTAACTTCTTCGTCAGCAAAGCAGAAGTTAGAATGAAGCGCTCTAGAGCCTTTTGTGAGCTGAATTGTGCAATATTTTGTATCACAATGAAGGGAAATACATGGAAGCTTCTGTACTGTAAATTTCCCTTCCAAGAAAAGTCTCAGTTCAAAGTGCTGTGTGGGATCCTTCTTTCTTATCTGATGTCTTGATGAAAACATATGAGTGAGAACTATAAAGTTCCCAGAACAAACAACGTTCGCTTTTCTACACTCCCTATACTTGGAATTTCCCAAATACTGGTACTTGGTTTGTTCATCAATGTGGTGTGATGAATGCAAATCTTATCTTTATATGCGCCACTCCCTCCCTCCTACTAAAAATAGTGCTTTTGAAAAAACCAAATTCCTACACTACCATTGTTCCAATCATGCCCCTTCTTTTCTATTCCTTTTTAATTAAAGAAAATCCTACCAAATTTCATGCTGTTAACTCTGTGCCAGGGATTAGTATTAAGTTTTGTTTGCTTTAAAACCAACCAAATTCAGACAGAATCATTTTTTTGTAGCTTGTTACATGTAAAAGCTGTGAATTGAAGCGTGTTCTCTGTTGCCTTCTCAAGCCTGTTGCAGAGCTGAAGAATTGTATCTTAGAGTCTGTTGGGTTTCCTCCTCTTTCATTTTTTTTTTTTTTTAAACTGAGCTGGACTGTTGAGCGGGACCTGCTTTGTATTTGGTGAAAATGGTAGGAAGTTTGTAAGCTATTTTTTGGGAAAGGGGAGGGAATAATACTAATTGTACAGTAGTGTTTTTATATACAAAATGTACAGATACACTGACAAATGTACACTTTTGTTACTTTAATAAAAATGTAGCAATTCAAAAGAACTACGTTGTGCTGAGAAACTCATCTGTGCTGGTGGATTGTTCGCAAAAGGGCATTATGGTCTCCCCTAAATATTGAGCTCCAAAGACTGTGTGCACGACCTTAAAATCCATACTTGAAAAAGATCTGGATCAAAAGACCGTCACACTCAATGATCTTAATAAAACCAAACTACAAAAATAAAAAATCTCCTAGGAAAAAGGACCAGGGCTGACCCACAGCCTGTTGAAGTCAGTGAAAAGATATCGGCGAGGTTTTGAATTGGGCACCAGTTCCCATCCAGAGTGCGCTGTGTTGCCAACTGGGTGTCCTTCCATTGCTGGTGGAAAGGGGTCATAAAGAACATGGAGGTGGAATAGCTTCCTGAACCTCTGTTTTGATACTTGCACTGTGGTTAAAAATATGGAATTATAGAATGAAATGAGGTGTCCTCTTAGGTCTGTCCCCCTGCCACTGTGAAATGTCTAATGATGCTCCTTTGTTAGCATTGCAATGGAGGATCCCAACTACATGGTGCCCACAGAGCATCTGAGCAATCCCAGTAAACAATGTTCCATAAACCAGTATCCCTAAAGCTCTCTGTCATCCTTCCAAATGGACAAGCCAGTAGACGACTTCTGACAGAAGTCCCAGAGAGAGAGCATTGGCCGGAAAAGCCATTGGTCCAGTCCATCGAAGGATCTGCAGCTGTAATGAAAATAGCAGCTAGAGTTGATTCAGTGCCTAAGGCTACCTTGGTCTGACTTCTCTCCAATATATACTGTCCATTCATTCACCTTTTGAGAGGTGGCTCTTCAGTGCATCATTCCCAAGGAATGGCTCCTGCAAGGAACTGTAAACTGTATTTAGGGAGGAGAGTCAAGCTGGAATGTTGAAGAGGCTGTTTGTGGTGTGGTTAAAATTGCCCCTGTTTTAGGACTGAATCTGAAGCCCATTGAAATCAATTAAGACACTCCCATTGACTTTGATCTCCAACCCACTGCAGTCTCGAACATCAATGGGCTTTGAAGGGGATCCTGTCATTACTCGTATTGTGGTAACACCTAGGATTACAGGTCATGAACCCCCACCCCATTGTGCTAGGTGTACAAACAGATCAAAAGATCATTGTTGCCCTTAAAATCTAAGGTAATGACAAAGGACCAACACACAAGGAGATAACTTCTGTATCATGGATGCCAAGAGTTAGGTTAGCATAGGTGCTATGACACACTGTTTCACTTGGAAGTCCCCCTTCAATAAACACGCCATATCTACACAATAGGCACTGTTGTGCCATAGCTTTGCTGCTGTAACCGTGGAGCCTAGGCTAGGATGACCAGACAGCAAGTGTGAAAAATCGGGACAGGGCGTGGGGGGGTAATAGGAGCCTATATAAGAAAAAGACCCCAAAATCGGGACTGTCCCTATAAAATCAGGACATCTGTCACCCTAGCCTAGGCCCAGACTACAATGGTGTTTTTCCATGGTTGTAAGCACTCCCTCTTCCTGATTGAGTCGCTAGGTCAAGGGAAGAATTCTTTAGTCAACCTAGCTGTGTCTATACTGGGGGTTAGGTCAGTATAGGTAGGGCATGCACAGGTGTGACATTTTCACACACACACCCCCAGTGCTGTAACTATGTTGATGTAAGTTTTAAGTGTAGACTAGACCTTTAATTGCCCACTGCTTATGAAACGGGTTTTAAAAAGGAACGGCAGCCCTGTTCAGTTGCTGATTACTTAAGAGTATGTAGGTTCAAGGGTTCTATTTAGAGTGAGATGTCCGCCCTCTTAATGACCTAACTACATTCATCACCATTATACAAGGTTGTATTCTGAGTTTTCAGGTGACACGGTGACTCACTCCATTTTATGTTGCAATCAAGATAAAAATACAGCTTTATGCTGCAGAGTGTTAGTAAGCAGTGAATGGTACTGTACCCCCATAGCAGCCTGACTTCACATGGGATCACTTGCCCTTTAATAAGCCAGTATATGAATCTAAAATGTTTGTATCTGCTTTGCAGTTCTCTTTTTGGTAGAGTCATTAAAACTGGGACCATACAGAGGATGTTTTGATGGAGTTTAGCAACTGAATCTGAACTTGGGCAAAGATGAACTATGTATGCATTCACCTACCCCAGGGCCTTTTGAAACTCAGGAAAGCATTTCGGTCCCATTATAATACCATCTCTTATACAGAGCTTTCCATCAGGAGATCTCAAAGCACTTGACAAGGTCAGTATAATGACCCCCATTTTACAGATGGGGAAACCAAGGCACAGAGAAGTGAAGTGACTTTTCCAGGTCACTAGCAAACCAGGGGCAGAGCTAGGAATTGAACCCAGGTTTCCATATCTACTAGGCCAAACCTGTCTCCCTCATTAACAGAATTCTTTCATGTCCCAGGGATAGGGAACGGCACTGCGAGTCAGGAAATTTGGGTTCATTTCAGTGACTTAACCTCTCTCTACAACTCACCTTTGTAGCGCCCTGTTAGGTCTGTGGCTGAAAAGCCGCGTGTAAGTGCTAACTGAAGTGTGTTTAAATGTATGTCCCCCTTTGATGTGGAGTTTCTTTTAAATGGAATAAATATTACTCTTATTTTTTCATTGATGCTATTGAGAGATCCTTGCGGTTAGGAAGACAGACACAAGATGGACTGAGGAGATCTGAGAAGAGAATTTTGCCCATTCTATAGCAGAAGTTTGCCAGACTAAACTATTGTGGGAGTCTCCCTGTTTTTCTGCTTGGCTGGATGCGGTTTGTATCTATAGACAAGGCTTGAACAAGCACTAGGGTGACCAGATGTCCCGATTTTATAGGGACAGTCCTGATTTTGGGTCTTTTTCTTATATAGGCTCCTATTACCCCCCCCCCCCCGTCCCGATTTTTCACATTTGCTGTCTGGTCACCCTAACAAGCACCCACACGGCCGATGCAGGCCATATAGCTCTATCCGGTGAGACAAAAAGAGCTGTCAGGAGCTGCGTTGAGCCTATCTCAGCTGGAACAGTGCTTTTTGCACATCTTACAATAACACCAACAGGGCTCGTTAACCAGCTCTCTCCTCCCCTGCCAGATTGAAGCAGACTGTATAAAAGATCTTAAGTCAATAAGAAAAGCACTATTTAATCGGGGCAACCTTTTCCCTGCAGAAATCTGGACTCAGTTTTTACCGACGCTTTTTGGGGTGGGTGTCATTGTAAATCCACAATAATGCATCCGGGGTCTATTTTGTTTTTTGTACAGAGGGATTTGTCCATAAACAAGGGTGTATGCCCGCCTCTGCGTTGACATCTGAGAGCTAAGCCCTTTGCCCCATAAACCTGGCTGTAAACTTCCTCCTCCAATGAGGAAGGCCAGTTCATAACTCTCGCTAGCTGGGTTCATGCTGCTAATTCCCTGGCATCTCTCAGCTGAGCAGAGAGGGGGTTAAGGTTATGCGCTCAGGACAAATTCAGGGCTCAAACATAGAGGCGCTCTCTCTGTGTGATCTCCATGTAGGAGTCACTTCGCTGCTGAAGTGCAGCCACCTCTGGTGTGGAGGACAGCAGCTAGTACACAATGAGGAAGATAAAACTAGCATACAAAAGCTCAAGGGTAAATTCCTTCTCTCTCTCTCGTAATGGGCTTTTAATGTAGATTTTAAGATTTTATTAATATCTATGTATCTTTGTGGCTTCCATGATTTATTTATACTACAGTAGCACTTAGCAGCTGCATTCAGGATCCCATTGCTCTAACACACTGTCCATGCACAATGTATAGTATCTGAGTGCCTCACAAAACAGCAATTTGTTTAGTCTCATAAATCCTCCCGTGAGGAAGGGAAACAACCTCTTTGTACCTC